CCGCCCCAACGTGACTACCGAAAAATGTGAAATGTAGCAGAGAGGGGGCAGGCATTTAGCTAGCTGTTGGCCACCAGCTGGGACACCCACACCCCACATCCAAGTGAGGGAGGTGGAATCCTGGATCACTCCAGTCCAGCTTCCTGCTGCAGCACACTCTGGCGGGAGTCAGAAGGTAACAGCTGGAACCGGGTGAGACTGGATAAAACCTCCCAGCTTCAGCCTGCCTATTGTGTAAGGGGAGTGAACCAAACACAGTGGAACGCCCCGTCCCTCAAGTGACAGGATGAATGAATGAATGACCAAACAATTTAAAAATAAAACACAGCAGATTATAACTAAAGAACTAGAGCATAAAATTCTAGTATTTTATAAAATAATTGATTCATATTTCATTTGAAAGAAATAGACATTTTCATCTATTGGTTCAATCCTCAAGTGCCCGTAACAGCCAAGGCTGCGCAGGAAGCACTCCAGCCCTCCTCTGTAGCCTCAGACAGCACAGCTGAGCAGCAGGCAGAGCAGGCAGGACTCAAACCGGGGCTCTGGTGTCCCAAGCAGCAGCTTAACTTCCACTCACAGATTTCACCTTTAATTAAACATTAACTATTGATCAGATATGGCTCCTCTATAAGACAGTAAAAGTTTGGGATGAGATTTTTACCCTGTTTTGACCCAAAAGAATCACCAGATTTACTCTCCTGTCTGAAACAATTTTATGTTTGTGTTTTCCAGGCCCCTGAAACAATTTATAAAAACTGATAAAACACGGTTTTCAAATACTGGACAATGGCATAAGTAATTCTTAAAAAGGGAGAACAAATGAGGCAAGCTGTATAACTGCCATAGCTTATTGCCTGGTAGGCAAGTTTTCAGACCAAAATAGCGTTAATCCAGACAAATGCTGGTGCTTTTCTTGAGCTGACACAGACAAGTGGGAGGCCTAAGCACCTGGACCGGAAAGGAAAGTTTCCCAGAGATGATCCAGAGTTTTGGACAAGGTATTTTCTAAATCTTTTCTTTTTTTTTTTAGAAGAGTTACTTTATTTTTATTGGAAAGGCAGATACACAGAGAGGAGCAGAGACAGAGAGAAAGATCTTCCATCCATTGATTCACTCCCCAAGCAGCTGCAATGGCTGGAGCTGAGCCAGCCCGAACCCAGGAGCCTCTTCAGGGTTTCCCCTGTGGATGCAGGGTCCCAAAGCTTTGGGCTGTCCTTCACTGCTTTCCCAGGCCACAGGCAGGGAGCTGGATGGGAAGCAGGGCCGCCGGGATTAGAACTGGTGCCCATATGGGATCCTGGGGCATGTGCAAGGTGAGGAACTTAGCCACTAGGCCATTGTGCCGGGCCCTATTTTCTAAATCTTAAAGCTAAGTTCTAATGAGCACATGTACACAGTGAAGTTAGCTTCAAACCTCCCAAGTTACAGTAATTCTAAAAAGTCAGACGAGTCTTGTCCCAATGATGTGCAAAGATTAGTTCTAAGCAACAGGCTATACAAGCCTGGAAAAGACCAGCCTCCAAGTACACTCATCCCAGATCAAAGCTCAATGTTTCTAGCACAGGAGCAGCTAAACACCTGCATCCCAGGGCGGGGTGCATGTGCCAAGTCAAGCTCCACTTTCAGTCCACCTTCCTGCCAATCCAGATCTGGCTCCAGTGCTTAGGGCCCTGCCACCCACGTGAGAAACCAGGACTGAGTTCCTGGCACCTGGCTCCAACCTGGCCCAGCCCTAACCTGCTACAGGCCCTTGAGGAATCAAACATTCCATTTGGAATGTCAGTCGCTTACAGTTAGAAGACTAGTCAATTGAGCCATCATATTGGCACCACAAATTAATCTTTTCTAAAACAAAGTTAAATATTGTTTCCAAAATGCTTACATCTTGAACAGCTTCTCCTCTCCATGGAGATGGGTGGTTGAAATGCAGATTACAAGGCCACCCTCCACCAAAAAAGGTCCAATTCAATCAGCCCAGCCCCTCAGCCTGTAGGTGACTTGCACCCAAGCAGCCTACACAGCCTAAATGTCAAGCTTTATATTTCAGCCCGGCACCAAGGCTCCCCAGAAGAAGAATCCGTTTCAGGACACGAGTTTCCACACAAAGACTATTCTGTGATCACTCCGATCTTAAATGAAAATATTCAGACTTTGCTCCTCTTGCTTCAAATCAAGTCTTAGTCTCTAGATCTCAAACTGAAACCACCTCTCCTGACAGATTCTACAGGATCCTATTGCAGAAGCCTAGAAGCATTACCAAGTGACTGCTTCAGGTGGTCAGATCCAAAGAAAAGGCTTGTAGTCCTATCCATCTCTCAGCACCCAGAACAACGCATGTAAAAGTTTTTCTTGGAGACAATTTTATCTTGCATAAATAAGCACATCCAAATCGGAACAAATATTTTAGAACTTCAGAAAACAAAAAGGGGAAAGTGTAAAAAGGTTTTTCTTATAAAAAGAAATCAGTTAAATGTATCTAAAATAGAAAAGGTATATCTACCAAGAAAATTAATATTTCTTCTTCACTAGCCTTCTAGATAAAAACACTTCCTCAAGAATTCTCTTCAAACAGCAGAACAGGTAAACTTAAGTTCAAAGAAAAAACACTGGTAAACCAAACTTTTAACATCAACTAAGTCTGCTTAACCTTTGATCCACACAGCAATCCAAAAATGAATTATATGGAAGAGGAAACACTTTTAGTTTCTAAAGCCTTCACATCTGCAAAAAAAAATGTGAACAATTATTTTAATATTTGGGGTTCAGTGTAACAACGTCTCTCTCCCCCCTGGTATATAGCTAACAATTTATCTTCCTCATTACACCGAGCAACAAGTCATGAGGCCCTAGGCATACGTCTTACTCATCTTTCTATCCCAGCATTTAAAACACTGTAAGTGGCTAATAAAAATGTAATGAATGAGTTAACAAGGCCCCCAACATACAAAATAAAAAATACATCGTTTTTAAAAACTATTAAATCTTCATTTTCACTTAAAAGAAACCCTTTAAAGCTACTCTTTGGTGTATCAACATCAGTGTTCTTACACTTTGGACCACTATTAAACCACTTTACCATAAGCACTGTGACATCAGTCATTGCTTACCTGCCTCTGAGAGCGAGTCTGACTGTAAGATGGCTACAGTCGGGCAGCATATACAAGGTGGACGGCTCAAGATGAGCAAAAGGCAGAGCAGAATTGGGGAAGATATTTTAAGATTTCATTACACTATTCAGAACAGAGCACAATTTAAAAATTAAGAGGGGCAGGCACTTAGCAAATGGTTAAGACATGTACTTCTCAACTGGATACCTGGGTTCAAATGCTACCTTCAGCTCCTGGTTCCAGCTTCCTTCTAAAGCTGGCTTTGGTAGGCAGCAGAGATGCCCCCCCCTTGGGAAATACAGATTGAATCCCCTCCTCCCCCCCTCAGTCCTGGCCCACCCCCAATCACGGATGGCATGTGGACAATCAATCAACAGGTAGAAATCTCACCCTCCTTCAAATAAAATAACTATAACACAGGGAGCTGGCTGTTGTGCAGTGGGTAAAGCCACCATCTGCCCCACAGGCATTCACATGGGCACAGTCCAGCTGCCTCCTAACACACTGGGAAAGCAGCAGAGCACGGCTTCAGTATCGGGGGCCCTGTGCCCTCATGGCAGACCTGGAAGAAGCTCTCGACTTCAGATGGGCCTAGCTCCAGCCACACGGGGAGCCGACCAGCAGATGGAAGCTTGTTCTTCCTCTTTCAAAATAAACCTTTAAGAAAGCTTATTTTTAAAAAACTACGGGCATTTATCATCTCAGTAAATATTTGATGAGTCAGACACAGGGATGTAACTATAAACAAGGTCCCATTTTAAAGAATAATCTAAGAGTAACAGCAGTAAGAAAACAGAATAGGATTTTAAGTCTTTAACAGGCAAACCAAAAAGCTGGTCACCATTTATTACTCAATGTCAGTGGGAACATTGATGTCCTGTCCCTTCCTCTTCGAAGAACTGGGTGTCCAAAAGGTCCAACTGTTCAGTAAGTCCACCAAAGCTCTAACTAAAACTCCAGGAAAATACATCATGTACATGGATGGATTTAACCATAATCATTTACAGGGCTCCAGTTACGTTCGAGAGCAGTATCTCTTCATTAAACACCTTCCACTCGCAGCAGGACGTGCATACCGAAGTTGCTGTATTATCTGAAGACTTACAAGTTAATGAAAACTTAAAACCCCTTGACAGCACCTAACCAGGCTTCAGGTCACCAAGAAAAAAAGAGAAATTCTACTTCCTGAAGAACTAAGTCCAAGACCTGGATGCCTGAACACAGCCTAGGGGGCGGTCTCGGTCACGGTCACTGGTGGGAGCTCCAGGAGGCTCACACACAGCAGCTGAAAACCCAACAGGGATAATAAAGCTCATTAACATTTCAAAGGACGAAGACAAAAATTATTTACTGGAATTACAGGTTTTAACAGTCACTGACCTAGCAGTCCAACATCTTTCCTCACTTCCTCCTCTACCGCTGCTCGTGGACAAAGACGGTGGGCTTAATATGAAGTGCCTACTATGTGTATATGCTAGACACTGGATGCTGTAGCTCTCTGAAAGGTTTAAGAAGTTTTTCTAACCACTTTAAAAGGGAGTCCACACATAACACAAATCTGGAAAAACAAATTTAAAACAGGTAAAAGAAACTAAGGCGAAAAGTTTAAATGTGCCTACACAGTAATCTAAGGAAAAGCCAACATCCAAGTTACAGAATCTGCACTTTCTCACACCTCTCACTCTCCTCTCCTGAATATGCTGAAAACACAGGGAGAGAACAACGGAGAACACAGATGTACAAAGTATAGCACTTTCTCTCACTGAGTTTCAATACCAGAAATCTCAGACTTAAAAACTCCACTGTAAAGAATGGTCAGTGCCCTGTGACTGGCAGAGGGTTAGACGCTCGGACAGACAACGTTTTGTTTATTTCTACACGTTATCTGCACAAAGCAGGATTGCACAAGCGTGCATTACTGCGTTTATGATTCTGATCTGACAGCAAAGCCGAGGACAGCAGCTGAAACAAAAATGACTCCGTTCTAGAACCCACTTGAGGCTTCTCCCCAGACATGCCGGAAAAAAGCGGAGCCTGCATCCCTGTTACCGAGATCCCATGCCAAGCCAGCCACAGGGAGAGCCTGAATCCACACCGTACTTCCCACGGGATAACAGGGAAGGTCTTAACAAGAAATAATTACACAGGAAAAAACTTTAAAAGGCTACAATTAGCCTTTTATTTTTAAGGTATGTTAATCTTTCACATTTTTCGAAGTCCAGAGAAAAACTGGGGAGAGCAATCAGCTAGCCTTGTCACTACCCTGAAGCAACTTGGCCTAATTGCACTCACCTAGTAAAAAGGAAGCCGACCAGGCCTCGGCGCGTTCCTGGTGATGACACCACCGCCAGGCTTTCGCGGCTGCCCCGCGTCCTCCCTCCATCTCCCTACAGAACTGCCGCCAACAGGAACCGGGCTGTGGAGCAGGAAGTACAGCAACCCCACCTCGAGCCTCGAACCACTGAATGCAGAGCCCGAGGACACGCTCGGGGAGGCGCTCACCATGTGCAAGGGTAAGCTGAAAACGCACTTCTTACACGTGGGGAGAAAACGGAGGCTCGGGTCACTCAGGGATCGCCCCGGGCGGACAGCGGGTGGGGTGACCATCCGTTCTAACTCAGTTCCTTCAGGTCTAAACACATGCAGGGCAGAAGCACACGGCCCCCTGCCTTTCTGCACCCACACGGACACCCCTGACCCACGACGCGGTGCCTAACTACACAGAGTGAGGGAAAGCGCCCGAATTCCCCACGATCCGAGTAAGAAAAACAGACTGCATCAGCACCCCTTCGCCTAGTTTCCTTTCCTTTCCATTAACGCTTCAGTCTAGGTTTTACAACAATCAAGTACATAAATAATTACGCAGGCATATTTAATTGATTACCATCACTTCAAACGTCTCAATTAGACATTTTTAGCGTCTCCCTATTCATTTCCAACAATCATTTTAAAGTATCCCACTTACTACTTAGGAGTTACCGAGAAAAAAAAATCGGAAATCATCCAGTAACAGGTTCTGGCAGGGCCGGGGGCAGCAGCACCTGCAGTGCAGAGCGGCGGGGCGCCCCGGGCGCGGGTTCGAGCTCACTCCCCGGCTGCTGTGCGCCCGCAGAACGCAGCTCGGGGAAGCACAAACACGCCACATGTGCAAGCCCTCACCCCGCTGAGCCACGAGAGCTATAAATCAGCTCTTGCAGCTGGTTTAAAACCACCACCCACCGGAAAAAAAAGGGGGGCAATATTGTGCAAGCCTCCCTCCCCCGCCCCCCCTCTGCAACGCCATCCAGCAGACCAAGTGAGGCGAATTAAGCCGTTTGGAAACATTGGGGCCGCTGCACAAAGCGGAAGCCGCGGGGCAGAAAGTCCCCGGGCGAGTTCCGAACCCGCGGCCGCCCGCCCTCCCGGCCGGGCGCGTCACCGCGGCCCCCGCCCCCACCCCGGCCGGGAACAATCGAGGGCGTCTCACCGCACACGCAGCACGAGAGCGACTGTCGGAAGTAGGGCAGGAGCCGGTTGATCTCGGTGAACGCCTTGGGGTCTCCGGGGTCGTAGTTGAGCACTAGGCGGCTCGCGGAAATGTAGAGAGCAGTAGCATTCACGGGGTTCATTGCAGACGCCTCGACACCAGTGGCTCCCGGTGGAAAAGAAATGCCGGATCCAACTTTGTAAGCACCCAGGGAACAATGGCGAAGGTGCGGCGCTCGCGCGGCGACCGGGGCAGGAGCGCGGGCCACGGCCGCCGAGCCCCGTGCGAGTTGCCGAAGCGATCCTCCCACGCATGCGGGGGGCGCGCGGGCCCCTCTCCGTCCCTGACACTTGCAGACAAAAAACAGCACGCACAGCACACACCACCGGGATGGGGCGACGGGGCGAGGGAGGGGAGCGAGCGTGCGGTCTCAGCCCCGCGGCTCGGCGGGCGGGCTCGGCGCCAGCTGCATGTCCGACGCGGCGGGGCTGGTGCGCGGCGGGGCCGGGGGCGCGGGCGCGGGAGCGGGAGCAGGCCCGGTCGGCCCGGTCGGCGGCTGCGAGCGGCGGCCCTACTCCATCGCAGCGCCCGGGGCGCGGGGCGCGGGGCGCGGGGCGGCGGCTCCGGGTCTACTGCGCCGAGCCCTCGGAGCCGCGGCGGCGGGCGGCTGGCACGGCCGCCGTGTCCATCTCAGCGCTGCGCGCTCCGGGCCAGCCGATCGCGGAGGAAGTGCGCGGGCCGCGAAGCAGGGCCGGGAAGCAGGCCCGGGCGGGCGGCCGCGGCCCCCGGCTCCTCGCTCGCTCGGCCCCGGGGTCGCCAGGCGCAGGCGCCGCCCCCTCACAGCACGGCCATCTTTTCCGCCCGCGCACGGCCCGCTCGGCTCCGGCGGGCGCTCCCCAGCGCCAGGCCCCGCCGCCGCCGCCCAGCGCTCGGCCAGGCCTCGCCGCAGGCCCCTCCCCGCGCCTCGCCGCCCTCACCCGACTCCGCGCGCCGCGCTAGCTCGGCGGGGCCCAGGCGAGTGCGGCCTGAACGGATCCCGCGGGCCGTGCGGCGCCTCAGGCCCTGCCGGAGACGACGACCGTTACCCCAACGGGCAAAGCCACTGTCATCCCCGAGCCTCCCCCGCCGCCGTCGTCGCTAGCGCCCGCACGCATGCGCACCGCGCGCGCCCCTCCCCCCGGCCCCGCTCTCCGCTTCCCTTTCCCCGGCGTCTCCCGGAGCGCCCCCCGCCCCCACCCTCTCAGCGCGACCGGCCCGCTCGGCACATGCGCACTCGGGCTACCCGGCCCGGCCGCCTTGGGCCCTTACGCGTGCGCTCTGACCGCCCACCCAGAAAACCGGATAAACACGGAGCCCGCTCGCGCCGGCCCCTCCCCGCCGCCAACCCACCCGGCCGCACTGCGCATGCCCGGGACGGAGCACGCCAGCCGCCTGTTCGCCTCGCCCCTCCCCCACGTGCTCTCAAGTTCCCTCTCCCGGGCTCGTGGGCTGAGGTGAAAATAGTCCGAGCTCGCCCTGCCCTCCCGGGGTGGGCCGCTGCCTGCCCGCACGTCACTGCCCCGGCGCCCGCCGAGGCCAGGCTGGGCCGCGCCATGTGGCGCTCGGCGCCCGCTCCGGCGCGGCCTTCCCTCGTCCTCACTGACCCCGGGCGGAGGAAGCCGCCTCGCCCGGCCCAGGCCCCGCCCTCGCGGCCATGCTCGCGGCGCCGCGCGTTCCCCCAGCCCGGCGGGGCGCTGCCTGGCCCGGGGGCCCTGCCCGAGCCGGGAGGGCGTGCGGCCGCCGGCGGACTGCGCGCCCGGCGTCTCCTCGCTGTCGTCCGCGGTCCGGCCTCAGCCTGCGGGCCGCGACGCCGCGGCCTCCTCCCCGGGCTCTCGGTGCTCCCCGGGCTCTCGGTGCTCCGGCCTCAGCCTGCGGGCCGCGACGCCGCGGCCTCCTCCCCGGGCTCTCGGTGCTCCGGCCTCAGCCTGCGGGCCGCGACGCCGCGGCCTCCTCCCCGGGCTCTCAGACTTGTAGTGGTCCGGCTTCCAGAGGCGTCGGCCACGAAGGCCTCGGGCTCCTGCGGAGGGAGTCCTCCTCAGAAACAGAACCATTGTTTTTTTAGTTCTTTTTAGTTCTTTTTAGAGCGAGCCCTGCTCTGAGAATACGTGATCTTCCTCTCGAACGAACCGAAATGCTTGCAATTGCTGTTGCATAAGGCGAGCTTTGGCCTTGCCTTTCTGCAGAAGACCAGGGGTCCTCGCACGTAAATCAATCTAATTTGATGGTTCCTGCTTTCCACCCCTCAGAATACAGAATCTTTTTTGAAAAGCACAAACGCCATTTCTTATCTCTGGACACCAAATTTTGTGCAAATAGCAGATTCTCTACACGTATTTGCAAAGTGGCATTTATGTATGTGAATCTCTGGAGGCACATGTTCTGATACTCAGGTGTACGTGGCATACCGAACTGTACGTGTTAATTTCGGGGGGTTGCCACTTAAAATAGACATGAGCAGTTAGCAAGCCCATCAAGGAAGCCGGACAACCCATGAACTGTAATTTCTGTCATCATTTGAAGTTAGATTTTTTTTTCCAAAGCCCCGTATGTCAACATTCATTAAACTGAGAATCTAACTTCCTAATTTTATCAGCAGAACAGAATAACCAAAGCTAAATGATAGTATCTGATAGATTTGTATGTGGGAAGTGGCCACTATTGTAAGGTTGTCTCTGGAGATGCACAGAGAGCTTGCATACTCTGCTGCACTCAAGTGCTGCCAGTGGTCAGGGCTGGGCCGCCTGAGCCCCGGTGGCAGGTGCCCGTCACTGGAGCCAACATCGCTGACTTCCGAGGACCTGCAGCAGCCCGTGAGCAAGTCAGGACCAGGAGCCAAACATGAAACTCAGGTATTGAGTGGTGTTATGTTTTGCTTTCAAAAAGGGTTTTTTGTTGTTTGTTGTTTTACTAATTCAAAGGCAGAGTTATAGGGAGGATGGGGGGAAAGGTCAGCCATCCACTGGCTCACTTTCTAAGTGTCTGCAATGGCTGAGGCTGAGTGAGGCCAAGCCGGTGGCCATGTGGGTGCAGGGGCCCAAGCACTTGGGCCATCTTCCAGTGATTCTCCAAGCCAGCAGAATAACTCGTTTAACTCCAGCTTCCTCGAATGCGGGTCCTGAGCGGCACCTGTGGTGGTGGCTCCGTGCAGGAAGCCTGGATTGAGTTCTGGCTCCTGGGCTGCAGACATTCAGGGACGGATAGAGGTGGCAGGTGATGCTCTGTCTCTGAGATAAATAGAAGCTCTGTGAGCCAAAGTTCTTGGATAAGAAACCTTTTCTAAGCTCACCTTCAAGTACAACTGTTACACAGTTCTATTTTTATTCTACGCGGTAAGGTCATCTCTCACAATGCAAGGGTTGTTCCACACCAGGAATGCATCACCTAGGGTAATCAGCGCTGTTTTTCATTCAAGCATCATAAATTAGCAGTCACCCTCACTCAGCAAGTGATTATTTCTAAGGCACTAACCTTGCTGATTTTCCCATAAACAGGCTCCTTTAAAATATCTCTTGAGCTGTGGACACCTCAAACTAAGATTAATTTGATTCATGGTTTCACAGGTGGGTGAGGGGGGAGGATTTAAAGCAGTTCTTTTTAGCTTCCGAAATTAACTGCTCTTTTAATAATTACTGCATTGCTTGTGCTTTGATTTAAAAAGTGACAAGCAAATTCTTTACACAAAATAAAATGGAGCAAATGTTTAGGGGGAAAGTCACATATAACTCAAATCCTTTGAACTATCAAAGATAATTTCTTATTTTATGCTTAATTGTTAAAATGTATTCATTTTTATTGGAAAGGCAGATCAGATTTACAGAGAAGAGAAACAGAAAGATCTTCAAACTGCTGGTTCACTCCCCACATAGCTACAGCAGCTGAAGGTGGGCTGATCAAAGCCAGGAACCAGGATCCTCTTCTGGGTCTCCATGTGGGTGCAGGTCCCAAGGCTTTGGGCCATCCTCAGCTGCTTTCCCAGGCCACAAGCAGGGAGTTGGATGAGAAATGGAGCAGCTGGGACACGAACTGGCACACGTATGGGAGCATGGTGCATGCAAGATAAGCCATTCAGCCTTCATGCCGTGCACTAATTATTGTTTAGAGGCAAAATGTTGAGGTTGCCAGAGTTAACAAAAATACAGAATGTATTTTTATTTTAAAAGTTTGATATTTACAGGATTATTATGCAGATAATATACCCAATTGTGTCTTTTATACCCAATTTCTCCAATTATTAGCAACTTGTGTTAGTATGATATGTTTACACAATTAATGAGTTAATGCTGGTCCTCTGGGCCCAGCACAATGGCATAGTAGTTTAAGTCCTCGCCTGCCGGAGTCCAGCTCCAGCTGAGTTCGGAACTCGTGAAGGGTGTGTGGATGAGGCACAAAAAAAGAAAGAGACGGACCACTAGGAACTCTTGACCATCGTGGACCACGCACAAAAGCTGTCCGCTTTATACAAAATCAGTCAAACTCTGGCTCAGGCTTTTTACGTCATGCTCAAGCGGGGGTTTCTAAAGATAACTCTGCCATTAGTTTCACCTAAGGCTAGGTTGTTATTCACCTGGTGCCTGGCTAGGAAAAAGTTCTCAATAGATGGTGCATATCAGTCACTAACACATTCCTACCACAATTACTTTACAGTAATTGTAATTACTTTACAGTAATTTACTTTAAAGTAATCTTGAGACAGTCAAGGAAGGAAGGGACCTAAAAGATCAAAGAAAGAGGGAAAGAATAGATTCCCACTACACCTGAAGACAGAACACCCTTGATTAGCATAGGATCAAAAGGGGAGTTAGCACCCTTGATTAGCATATTGCCACAGGATGCAGCCATAACAGTAATAACAGCTTTTTGGCTAAAAAACCGGCAACAGCAACATCAGCTTCTAAGCTCCCATTGATATTTAACAGTAACTCCGCAGAGGCAGACAATGCCTAAATAGATTACAGAAATCTCAATGGGGTTGTCCGGTGTCCATGCAAAGGGAGGCAGAGCTGTATTCAGGTGTTCTAGAGACATCCACCGGGCCTTGCCACACAGCGGGAAGTTCCTTGCGGCCTTGCCTGCAATAGAACGATACTCTTCACACTTTCCTGTCTTCCACACCCATCACACGGAAGTCTTTAAAAATAAATAAATATTTAAAAAATAAAAACCTAGAGGTTTGTTCTTACCTTTTTTTAGGACATTGAGAATTCTGCATGATGCATTAGTCATGGGTTCTCATTCAAGCTCATCCTTTTGGATTTTCTTTTAAATTTATTTGAAAAGTGGAGTGATAGAAAGATCTTCCATGTGCTGGTTCACTCCCCAAGTGCAAGCAACAGCTGAGGTGGGGCCAGGCTGAAGCTAGCAGCCGGGAAATCATTTGAGTCTCCCACGTGAGCCAAGCACCTGAGCCACCATCTGATGCCACCAGGGTGTGCGTTATCAGGAAGCTGACCCTAAGTGAAGCTGGGGCTCAACCCCAGGCTTGCAGATAGGTGATGCGACTGTTCCAAGTAGTGTCTTTAAAAAATATTTATTCATTTTCATAGGAAAAACAGATTAACAGAGAGGAGGAGACACAGAGACCTTTCATCCACTGGTTCACTGCCTGAAATGACCACAGTGGCCAGAGCTTAGCCAGGAGCCAAGAGCTTCCTCCAGGTCTCACACATAGGTGCAGAGGCCCAAGGAGATGGGGCCGTCCTCCACTGCTTTCTCAGACCACAAGCAGAGAGCTGTATCAAAAGTGGAATAGGGCCCGGCGCGGTGGTGCAGTGGTTAAGGTCCTCGCCTTGCACGCCCGGGATCCCATATGGGCACCGGTTCTAATCCCGACGGCCCAGCTT